AAGTAGGCTATGTATAATTGATGATTGATGCTATATAGTAACCAAATCATTGAATTAGCAGTGCTTGACATGTTGGGAAAAAGGAACCAGGCCGTGGTTAATGAAAATAAAGGTTACCACTAAAGGATTGTATTTTTTCTAAATGAGGAAGTGAAAAAGATTGTTTCAGAAGTGAAAGAAACATGAACAGTGAAAAAAAGAAAAGAATCTTTCCATTGTCTGACCTCCATTAGACATGTAATTTGACTGGAGAAGGGTGCAGTTTCAGAGTATTCATAAAGAATAGAATTGAACTCGATTTTGTTACTTCCAGGATATTGATCACTCTGAATGGATCAGGCTTTGATAAAGTTGTTGCAGCATTCACAGGGGAATATACAGAACCAGAAAACTAATTAATGACAATTTTGCATAACAAAACAATGAAATCAGAGGCTTTAGAGATTTAATCCCCAATGTCACATAGGAAAAATAAAATGTGGTCTGCCTAAGTGTTTACCTACACAAAATCAGAATTGAAAGACATGCTCATATCAGGTAAGGTTCTAAATTGCCAAGTGGAAAGACAACTGGAAAAAAATACATATGTATTAGAAAAGTGAGAAATCGAATATTAAGGAATTCATAAAAAATTATTTTTATCTGCTAATTCAGTTAAATTGACTGTAGTATAAGAGAGTCAAACCATAATATATTGTGATTAGATCTATGTGAATTCGTCTGACGTCATTTTCGTGATTGAAGTTGATACTTTACTAATTTAGATTTTAGCTTAAATTCATGAATAAATCATTACTTTTTATTATTGTTCAATTGATATTACTATACATGTGAATTTAATATTTATTTTAGTGTTATTTGAAATATAATAGAGGAATCACATTAAAAGAACCAATCTGTATAAAATCAAGTTCATATGGAACATCTACTAAAATATCTAAGTAACAACAACAAAAAAAGTATATCATTTACATTTAAATATTGATTTCCAATTAATTGAATTTGTTGTTAAGTGCCATCGAGTTGGTTCTGACCCATAGCAACCCTGTATAAGGTTTCTGAGGAGTGACTGGTGAGCTTGAACTGCCTACCTTGCAGTTCAAAGGGCTTTGCACTCTGGCGCATTAACCCACAGCGCCACACCAGGACTCACACACATATATTCTAAAATGAAACATTTATAGTTCTGAAACATTTATTATCGGTATTGTCATTTTATATTTTAGGGAAAGTTTAATTTTAAAATCCAAGAGATGAAAATGAATGTGCTAAATTGTTTTTCCCACTTGGCTTCACTCCTATTTAGTTTCTAAACAGACATTATGAAGTGCCATCAAGTTGGTTCCAATTCATAACATCATTACATAGGGTTTCCCAGAAGAATATCCAACCTTATCCTCAGCAGTCCAGTATCTATCCTACAGTGCACAAGGATTTGGGGCAATTAAGAGATGAAGTCTGATAGAAAAGTTGACTAAAATTAATTTCATTCTTACTTGATATTCATTTAAACTTAAAGACAGCACTGGTCTGAACTGTAGAACATTCATTCTTTATTGATGAATCTTAAAATAATTTATTTTGGGGGAGGATTAAAATGAGTATGATCCATTTATGGTATGTGTATGTGTGTCCTGTAGGGTATTCATTTTATGCATGTTAGATAGTTAAACCTGTATCTTTTAGCTTTGTCTCTCTAACTTTTGTGTTTTTAAATATTATTTTGAATCTGGAATTAGGTTTTGTTGTTGTTGCTATGTGCATCGAGTTGGTACTGACTCATAACAACCCTATGCATAACAGAAGGAACATTGCCCTGTCCTGGGCCAACCTCACAATTGTTGCCACACTTGAGCCCATTGATGCTACCACTTTGCCAATCCATCTTGCTGTGGTCTATCTCTTTTCCTCTGACCCTCTACCTTACCAAACATGATAACCTTATCCAGTGACTGGTCCGTCCTGACAATATGCCTGAAGCATGAGAGATGAAGTTTGGCCGCCCTGGCCTCCAAGGAGCACTCTGGCTGCACTTCTTCCAACACAGGTCTGTTTGGGGTTTTTTTTTGGCAGCCTATGGCATTAGCAATATTCTACTCCAACAGCATCAATTCTTCTATGATCTTCCTTATTCACTGTCCAGCTTTCACATGCATATGAGGTTATTGAACATACCATCAGCTTCAGGTGCAATCATTTCTACTGTCTGAGGTAACTTGTTGTTGGTAGGTGTTGTCAAGTCAGTTCCAACTCATAACAACCCTATGTACAACAGAACAAAACATTGCATGGTCCTGTGCCAACCTCACAATCATAACTAAGCTTTAGTCCATGCTGATGTAAGATAGTAAAGATAAAAATAAATGACACATATCAAGAATAATATGTAGATTCAGAATCAAGTTTCAAAACATTCTGGTACTGACATTTTGTTGTTTGCTTATTGAATCATATAACAGTGACATTTACCTGTGAGAGTTTCTGAGAATAAAGACAATTTAATACATAAAGTATCCTGACTTACAGATGATATTTTGTGGCTGTCCAACAGAGTTAAACACTGATATATCATTTTCTTATCATTTTTTTACCAGTGTAGAACAAAAACAAAGAAGGATGGATGAGGAAAATTGTTCTTCTGTGACTGAATTCCAGCTCTTGGGAATTACTAATAAACCTGAGATTAACACAATCATATTTACCACATTTCTAATTGTGTATCTCCTTATCCTTGTAGCAAATCTTGGAATGATCATTTTAATTAGAATGGATTCCCGGCTTCAAACACCAATGTATTTTTTCCTCAGTCATCTCTCTTTCTGTGACCTGTGCTACTCCACCGCAATTGGACCCAAGATGCTTGTGGATCTTCTTAACAAGAACAAATCAATTCCCTTCATTGGTTGTGCTTTGCAATTCTATACCTTCTGTATCTTTGCAGATGCTGAGTGTCTCCTGCTGGCAGTGATGGCCTTTGATCGGTACAAGGCCATTAGCAACCCCTTGCTTTATACAGTCAACATGTCCAACAAAGTGTGTTCCATGCTCATGACAGGGGTTTACCTGGTTGGCCTGGTTGATGCTTTTATACATACTACCTTAGCTTTTCGTTTGTGTTTCTGTGGGTCAAATGAAATTAATCACTTTTTCTGTGATATCCCTCCTCTACTGTTGATATCTTGTTCAGATACACAAGTCAATGAGTTAGTAATATTCACCATTTTTGGTTTCATTGAACTGAGTACCATTTCAGGAGTTCTTGTGTCTTATTGCTACATCATACTATCAGTCTTAAAGATCCACTCCACTGAAGGAAGGTTCAAAGCTTTCTCCACCTGCACCTCCCACTTAACTGTTGTTGCAATTTTCCAGGGGACTATGCTCTTTATGTATTTCCGCCCAAGTTCTTCCTATTCTTTAGATCAAGACAAAGTGACCTCGTTGTTTTATACTCTTGTCATTCCCATGTTAAACCCTCTGATTTATAGTCTACGAAATAAGGATGTAAAAGAGGCTTTGGAAAGACTGAAAAATAGAATGTTATTTTAAAGACTTTAAAATGTTATTTTAAAGTCTTCACATCAAATATTCCAGTACATTCTGGTCTTTAATACTTTAATGAAGTCTGTATTTATGAAAGTCTTCAACTAGACCAATATAAGGTAGTTTCTTAAATCTGTTAAACTTTCTTATGTGTTTTCAATTTAAGCACAATACTCTTTAATATTTGAAAACTTTCAGGTCTCCTAAATGTGCTAAAATTTTACTTGCTCATTATTGTTTTCTTGCACTAATTTATATTTTTTATTGAGTTTATGTAGTGTTTATTATACATTTTAGGTATTTTGATTTTATGATCAAACCAATAATCTCCACACTAATGGATTCTATTATCTGGTGTAAATATCAATCTTTAACTAGCTAATTATTCAAACAATTGAATAAATGCTATAAAACATCAGGATGTGAAAAAGCAAGGTGATATTAACCAATGCAAAATGTCTAACTCTGTTGTACAAAGAAGAAAAGCTTCTTTGAAATTGGGATATGTCTTTTCTCATCAAAATTCTGAACAGAGATGCTAAGTGGGGGAGAGTTAAGTTCTCTAGGTAAAGATATTGGTAATTAGTGATCACGAACTGGTTATGGGTCTTTTATGTAATTGAAGACTCACAATATCAGATATTAAACAACAAAGCAAAGGAACTACTAAGGTTCATCCTTGTGATGTAATTTTAACTCTTTTGTCCCTTTCTCATGTGAAGTTTCCATTTTCTTCCCCTTCACCCCTTATGGGACCTGGATGAATTCCTCTAGTCCTGATTCAGAAGTCAGCCTTCCCTCAAGGCATCACTTATCTACCACTCTGTTCATAAATCAATGTCCATTATATGAGATGCTGAGGATTCTGTGATATAGACTTTGTTATAACAATTACCTACAATGTGTTGATGACACTGGATGGGAAAACAATTATATAAAAGCCAACTGGATACCATCCTTTTGCATAATATTTGCCTGTCAGTTGAAACAGCATTAATTGATGGAATACTATATGCTTTGAATATATTTTTTACTTCTTGTCAGAACATTTGTAATGCTCTAAGAGGTAACAGATCTATAAAGATATGTGTATTTGTTACTTAGAAATTGAAAAGCAATCAGTTGTTATGTTTTGGAGTTTACCTCCTTCCCCTGTCTTAGTTTTACTTTTTTATATTAAAAAAAAAAAAAAGAACACACAGTTCTTTTAGCTTGTTCAGAAAATATATAATCCTATATTTGAAGGGCTTTCAAAACTGAAGGAAGCTCTAAATTATCTATTACAAACAATTGTAGAAGCTAAAATGTCAATGAATGTCATAGGCAGTATACTGCCATTGCAAAATGTTCTTTTATTAAAACAAAGCAAAATTGTAGTAAATCCTAAAAGCATGTGTAATTTCTCAAGTTATATTTCTTTGTGGGATCCTGGGACATGCTTGGTAAAGGTAAAATTGTGTGTGTGTGTGTGGAAATATATGGAGGATTGCTTTGGAAAATGTTTTGTAGTTTACTTTTCTACCATATTTTATTCAATTAATCCACACTCTATTTGAAATGGTACTTATGGGCACCAAGATGGAATCAAAGTAGTTTATATATTTTAATGTGTCCTTTGGGAGGTTATTTTAGTTTACCCAATTTTTAAAGCAAGAATGTAGTCAACTAGACTCAGATATTAATTAAGAGGATTGAATGGACAGTAGACCACATTGTATTGATGGATTGCCATACTTTGATAGGAAAAGTCTACTTTGCTTTGTTGTTATTATTGAATGCCATCAAATTGGTTCCTACTCATAGGAACTCTGTGTAGGGTTTCCAAGGATTGGATTGTGGGTTTCAACAACCAAGCTTGCCATTGCAGTCCAGTACTTATCCCATAGTACTACACCAGGACACTCCTATTAGAATATTGCTGCTGTTAAGTACCTTCGAATTGGTTCCAACTCATAGCGACCCTGTATATGGTTTCCACCAAGAGTGGCTGGTGCATTTGAATAGTTGGCCTTGTAGTTAAAATCAACCTTGTGGTCTTGCTGTTGCTTTTGTTGTTAGGTGCCAACAAGTCAATACCAACTCATAGCTACTCTATGCAGAAAGGAATGAAACACTGCACGGGTCTGGCCCAACATCACAATCATTGCTACATTTGAGCCATTGATGCTGCCACTATGCCAATCTATCTCACTGGGAGTCGTCCTCCTTTCTCTGACCCTCACCTTAACAAACATGATATCCTTCTCCAGTGACTGGTTCCTCCTGAGAGACAAAGTCTGACCATCCTGGCTTCCAAGGAGCACTCTGGCAGCATTTCTTTCAACACAGATCTATTTGTTCTGTTGAGAGTCCATGGTACTTTCAATATTCTCCTCTAGCACCGTAACTCAAATGCATCAACTCTTCTACAGTCTTCCTTATTCACTGTCCAACTTTCACATGCATATGAGGTTATTGAAAATACCATGGCTTTGGTCAGGCACACCTGAGTCCAGTCCTTAAACTGACATATTTGGTCATCAACATTTTAAAAAGGTCTTGTGCTGTAGATATGCCTATTGCACTACAATGTTTCATTTCTTGACTGCTGCTTCCATGAGTGTTGATGGTTGATCCCAGCAAAATGAAGTCTTTGAAAATTTCAATATTTTCTCCACTGATAAGGATGTTGTTTATTGGTCCACTACTAAGGCTGTATTTCCAACCACTGATCCTGCCTCTCTGTTTCCAACCTTTGCATTCCAATAGCCAATAATTATAAATTTATTTTGATTGCATGTTTGATTAATTTCAGACTGAAGAATTTGGTAGAAATCTTCAATTTCATCCTCACTGGTTTAGTGGCTGTTGTGTAAATTTTAATAATAATAGTTGTTCTTCCTTGTAGGTGTATGGATATTATCCTATCATGGACAGTGTTGTACTTAATGATATATATATATATATATATATATATATATATATATATATATATATATATATATATATTTGTGATGAATATGATGCCATTTACCATCAACTTGTCATTCCTTGGCTTAGTAAACCATGTGATTATCAGATTCAGAATGGCCAATTTTAGTCCATTTAAGCTCAGTAATGACTAGGATACTGATGTTTATGCATTCCCTTTTATTTTTGACAGTTTCCAATTTTCCTAGATTCATACTTTGTACATTCCATTTCCCAATTATTAATGAATGTTTACAGCTGTTTCTATTCATTTTAAGTTTTTCCCATCAGTAAATGAATATCCTAAGTGTGGGGGTTCCTGCCCTCCGCTGGGGTCGTGGGACATGAGCGAATATGTGGAAACATCAGATGAAGAAATGAATGAATACAATAGAAAGGCTTTTCAACTTGCTGTGCTATCCAGCTATGCTCTCTAGCTTCTGCCCTTGCTTCTGCTTTCTGCTCTTTGCTGTCTGTTCTCTCTGCCCTCTGCCTTCTCCCTCCTGCTCTCTACTTCTTCTTTCTGCCTCTACTTCCTCTGCCTTCTTTCTCTGCCTTTCTTCCTTCCTCTGTCAGCCCAGCTCAGCAAGTCTTTATTTTTCATACTTAAAATTACACAGTACATGCATTGACACTTTTATCATTTCTTGAATTATTACACAGTTAGTCACAACATTCTTGCGCCTGTTCATTAGACAACCTTAACAAGAATACTCTGTGATGTTCAGATTGACCTTCATGTTCTTTCCCAGTATGAAATAAAACTGTTTCTTCTTGTTTCCACTAGAAGATTATAAACTTTCTATCCTACATAATGTGCTATTATTTTCATAATAAAGATATTCATTAAATCACTTGGAAGCTATGTGGCATAAAGCCCAACTTGGCTAATTGCTACAAGAAGTGCAGATTATTAAATCAAAACTATCCTTCACTTAAGTTCATTATTGTCTACTTTTTTATGCAGGTGTCTGTATGTAGGGGTTTGTGAATTCTAGCTAGTGACTGAATGTGGTGAGATTTATGGGGGTAGGTCAGCTTGACTCTAATATGCTATTTGCTTTTGTGGCTTCACAAATGCAGTTACTTAGGTTTTCTAAGGAAATGGAGTAATTTACACAATTTCTCTTTGTATTCAATCCACCAAGGCTGAAAGCAATTGCTGCTAAGCTATTTTTTCCTAAGGTTTGTAGAATGCATAGTGAAAGCTGAGAATATTGCCATATTATATATATTTTTGCAAGTAACTCCAGGGCTAACTTGAAGGGAAGATAGGGGTCAGCTTTTAAGAATCATATGCCATGCATAATGTCTCTCCCCCCAGTGCGGTTTGCCAAGCACTGAGAGTTAAGCGCTTTCCGCACCTAAGGGCTTTACTTCATTTGTGTCATTATGGTCAACTCTTCCCCAGTCACATTTTGAGTGCCTTCCAACATGAGGGTTTCATTTTCTGGCACTATACCTGACAGTGTTTCCCTGCTCTTCATAAGGTTTTCAGTGACTACATGTTTGGAAGTACATTGTCCCTCCTGCTTCTTAGTCAGTCTTCATCTCTAAGCTCATCTGAAACCTGTTCACCATGAGTGACCCTGCTGGTATTTAAAATACCCATGGCATAACTTCCAGAATTACAGCAATACACAAGCAACCACAGTGCAACAAACTGACAGATGAGTTGTGGACCTTGTTGTCTAGTCCTTTGGAAGTTGACATCCCAGGACACAGGGAAGCACATGAGAAGAAAATCAATGGGAAAGAAATCAGAAGATGACCAACAAAGGCTTCACCTCCTACAAATGTGTACCAGAGAAGTAGATAATGGTAAACAAGCTCTTAAAAAACACAGAATCATAGTCTTCTTAAGATCTCAAGTGGACTATTATCAACAGTTACGTTGTTTGAGCTTTATCTCAACAATATTACTCCTAAGTATACATGTGGTATTTTAGCATTAGAATTATCACATGAAATAGCAATTAAATATGAAAAAGTCACTGAAATATATTGACTAAGCAACACTTTGCCTAACATTGAGAATGATTTATGTATAATAAGAG